TGCCAGGCAGGACCTGCTCTAAGTGCTTTACAACTTGCTGTAAGCAGAGATGCCAGGCAGGACCTGCTCTAAGTGCTTTACAACTTGCTGTAAGCAGAGACTCCTCCTTTGCCTGTAGTTTACAGTGGAGCAAGGTGGGTAGGAACCAGGAAGTTCAGAAACACCTCTCCAGCCACGTGCCTGCCTCAAGTGGTAGAGCCAGGCAGCCATGGCCTGGAGACTATGATGCAAAATAGGCCAGATGCGGCATCAGCAACATTTTAGTACCAGACAAATCAAACCCAAGATAACCAGATAATCAAAACTGTATATTTAAAAACCCTTTTAAAAGGGCAGCTTTGTAGCAAAAGTGGGCAACTTGCTGGCTTCCAGCCCTGTTCCACATCTGCTGTCTACTTACTGACTGAGTAACTCAGGTCTTCTGCATAAGGAGTTGTGTCAAGCGGAGCCCTCTTAGACCCCCACTGTGTTGCACAGGGGCTGGGCAGCTCGTTCTCTGGTAGAGGCGATAACAGCAGAGCTCAGCTCCCTTCGGTCAGGGTCAGAGGTGACAGTGGTCCCAGAATGGAACGTTCTGTCACTGCCGCTAGCTCCGGGGCTTTGGTGCTTCTGAGGTCATGTATGGGCTCCATGATGGTGTTTGTGTTGCCTAGGTTTTGGGGGCTCAGTTCTGTGCTCCTCTGTCCTTCAGAAGGCCTGGCTAGGAAGATCTGAATGGGATGTATCTTCTATGGCTACCCACCAACCTCTGTGACTGGGCTGGAGGCCATGAAGCCGTGGCCCTGGCAGGCTTTTCCCTAGATACGGCTGCACAGTTGGCTTGAGGTGGCAGTGTGTGTTTGACAGTTCCTCTTTCCTCCTCCCTCAGTTCGAAGTGGGACCCTATGGTTGCATCCTGCTCACCTTGTCTGCCATCCTGTCCAGATCCCTGGAGCTGTGAGTATCTCCCTTTGTCTCCCTTTATTGTCGGTCTTGTCCCCCGGACAGCACAGTTGATGGAGCAGCCAGGAAGGAGAGCTGGCTGGGGTGGAGAAGAGCAGTCACAATCTATATACACGTCTTCCTGGGGCTACCTTCTGTGTCCTTCCCATATGTACCAGGGACAGCAGGGGAGGCCTCTCCCTCCCTCAAAGAGCTTCCATGCAACTGCAGTGCCCGTGGGCTTGAGCACGCAGCGCGATTCCCCTGACACGTGCGCAGGGGTGGATAATGGAGGCAGAGACCCGGGCATTGCCACGAGGGAACCCAGCGGATTAATAGCACATGAATTTTCTGTGCAGTACAGTCGATCGATCGATCGATCGATCCTCCATTCCTTCCAAGCAGAGGCAGGTCTAGGGTGCGGAACTCTGGGGGAGGGAGTCTGGCTAGGAGTACCTGGTGAAGAGGACTTGGGAAATGGCTCCTAGCAGGTCTGGGGAAAGGGTTGAGCCTGGGTTGCCCTGGCAGAAAGAGCATTTGTTCCCCTGTTGGTGTCAGCTGGGCTGGTGGCCTAGTGCTGTTCCCCTGGGCCTCTGCTGTGGGTGGGGGGAGGCATGGGGCTTTGCAGTCTCGTGCACTGGCCCTCCTGCTGCTTGCTGCTGCTGACCTTATTAAACCCGAGTGTGCACAGCACTTTCTAATGGCATTTTATTTCTAATCCTGCCATAATGATATGATTCATTCCTGGTATGGGCTCACGTGCGTGGAGACCATAAGCCTTTCTACCTTCTCCCAGGCTTGATTTGTTAATCCCTGGATGGAGGGAGGGTGGCCTAGGGAGCTTTCAGCCTCACTGACGGGAGCTCTGCTCTTGGGGACCAAGCCTGGTAATTCTCCATTCAGCTTCCCATCTGTGCAGGGGCTTCTGGCCCTGGGTCCAGGTTATGGTGCCCATGGGCACACTGACTGCTGCACTCACAGGAGCAGTCTGAAGTGAGTAGGCACCCTGGCCACATGCAAGCTCCTGCCTGTAGCCCTCTCCCTCCAGAAGGGACTCAGGGCTCTGCATCCAAGTGATCTTCCCATTTGGCCGAGCAGAGAGCGACTGCCACCTCTCACTGACCCATCCCACCTGGCCAGGCAGGTCAGCAGCCCCCATCCAGCCTGTGTCCCTTGTGGGCATCCGTCAGGGTGGGGATAGCAGTTACATTTCTGGCAACACATGCATGTGCATACATGTGTGCTTGTGCGTGCGTGCACGCACACACGCACTCACAGATGTACACACAGACACATAGACACTGACTCCTAGATAGGCATGCACAGGGATCTACTCATATGTAACGTGGACACAGAGGTGTGGTCCAGCTGACTCCAGGGCCTCTGGGCACCTTTCTTGAGTCCTGTAGGCAAGTGTCTTGGGGTCCCTAAGGCAGGATTGTCTAGGTCAGGCCTCTTCCTTCCCAAGGAGCTGAATAGGGACCTGCTGTGGGCTGGGCTTTGTCTCACCCCAGTGTTCTCTCCTCACCTTTCTTTAGAGGACAGACCCATGTACAGTGAGAATAATGACAGCCAGCATGTTCTGCTTCTGCATCTGCAGCATCTGCAGCTTCAGTGTGTCCCACTCTTTGCCTTGACAGTCATACTGAACCACATGGAGTCTCAACCCCACCCCACTGGGTGGGTCCACTGTGGTCACTGTGGCTTTAGGAGGTGAATGGTTTGCCCAGGCTACACAGCAAGGCAAGCTGGCAGCCTGGCCACCAAGCAGGCTCGCCCCACCCAGCTTTTTTGGTTTGCTGCATACAGAGGCGAATTTTGGGTGATAGACAGATTTAGGGTCTGGACTGATTGCTCCTCTGTGCTGGAGTTTCTTCCCCTAAGAACTGGAGCTTCCGGGGCTACTTATCCCTCATGGTTTGCCCCATCTTTCCTCTACAGGAAGCCCCTGGAACACAGGTAGGGCAAGATCACCTCTGCTTGGATCCTCCCACCTTGGGCAACCCTCTGGGAGCATGAAAGACGGGCTGTGTTCATGCTGAGTGCTAGCCTCCAGTATGCGCTTCCTGCCAAGACTGAGCACCATGGGGCCTGAGGTGGGCCTGGTGGGAAGACCAATCACTGGCCAGGGGTGTCCAGTGTGAAGTAAACTTGAGGTGACATCAATTACTTCGGATCTGATCAAGTACTATGAGGCATGTAGACTGAAGGCTTCATCGAGAACCAGGGCAGATCGGTGTAGCCTGGGTGACGTCTGCATGGACTCCCAGAAGGCTGCTTGAGGTGGGAACATCCCAGCAGAGCTAACCTTGCCTGCCCCACCTGTGATCCACGGGTTTCGTAAAATTTGGAGGAAAGATGGGGCCACAGTGAGGGCAAGAGCAGCCCATGCAGTCCCAATACTGCCCAGATTCTGAGAGTGACGTTGAAGTGACGTCACAGCCCTCTGCCCCCAGTTTTGGAGGGACAGCTCTGCTGATGACTGGCTCTGCTGGGTAGTGGCCCTAGAACTGGGAGAACCCACTTCCTGTCTACTACCTTAGGGGTTGGCAGTCCTCAAAGATCTTTCTTCATAGACATCTGGACATAGAAACATCTGGACACAGAAGTACAGATGTCACCCAGCTCAGGCACCAGGTGGCCCGCTGGGAAAACCACAAATGCAAACCTTTGACAGCTTCATTGTAGATCAAGGGCACTTGGATCCTCCCCGACTCAGCTACCCACAGCCCTTGCTAGCCAGTGTGTCTTCAGTTCTTTATCATTAGCTGACTGGAGCTAGATCGTACTGTTTAAACTTTCATTGAAATGAAACTAAATCTAATTTATTTCTCAAAAATACAAAAAGACACACACACACACACACACACACACACACACACACACACACACACCATTTCAAAGCTCACGGAGTAAAGCAGATGCAGTCAGGTGCCTGGTGGTGGGGAATGCAAGTCCCCTGTCTGCCCCTCCTTAACATCTGGCATGGATCTTCCTTGGAGAAATCCCAGCTCTGCTTAAAAACGTAGGGAGCAGACTATAGCCGAGGGCCTTCCTGCTCTGGGTTCCGAGTCAGCTTGCAGAATCCTTTGATGCTGTTCTGGATGGTCTGTTACTACTTTGGGTGGTAGTTGGAAACAGGTTCTAGGAGCCCAGAGAGTCTCTAATATCAAACGCTGCATAGCCGTGAGAGTACTGAGCTGGGAAGGCCTCCCTAGTTCCTTCCAAGCACTGTGTGTGGGGGGAGGATGGGGGCCAGGTGGGCAGTGAGGTGGATATTGTTGTTCTGAGATTGTGCGGAGGATAGCATGATGACATGTGTGATGTGAATGTGCGACAGAAGGGTCACACACTCTCCCCTTCCTGGCAGGGTTCTCTCTCCAGCCTAGATGTTGCCCGCATATCACTCACATGTCATTTCTAAGCCAGAGTGGAGCTGTGGGCAGATACAAACCCAGCATGCGCAGCCCAGCTGCTCCTAGGAGCAGGCAGAAGCAGGCCTCTGAGCCTCGCTTCCCCCAGTGGAGGCTGAGCTCGTGTAGGTTATTCTTTTCTCCTCATGATGCCAAGCTGTTCACATTCTTCCTTAAGATCTGCAGTTACATACAGTAACGCCCATGTTACATTTCATGCTCGACTGGCTTCCGAACACTGAGCCGTGTGGCTAGAGATTTCCCCAGGGAGTTCTTGCCAACTCCCCGGGATGCTCAGAGCCCTGAAGTCAGGGGACTCTCCAAGTCAGGCCTGGGTGACCCGGGGCTGGGGGTGGGGAGAGGAGAGGGAGGGTGCTGTGGGGAGCACAGCCCGGCTCACAGTGGGGGCAGTGCCGGTCAGTGGCAAGAGGTTGTGCCAGCAGCCTGAACAGAAATTTTCTGTCCAGTAGACCATCAGTACTCATTACTGCAGCATCTTTGGCAGCTGAAGGGCAATCTTGAAAGTTCAAAAAACAATGTTGGGCAGCACAGCCAGGCATTGGGGGCCAGGGCCTGGCCACACGGCATCCCACTGTGTGACTCTTGTTCTCGAAACTCTTGAGATTAAAAACAGCAGTGGCAGCCGGACCATTTCTTTCCTTGAGAAAAGAGCCCTGAAATGAAAGTCAGCCATGAATACTGGCTAGAAGGCAGGTGGCAAAAGGTCAGTCCCAGCCACAGGAAGCAGAAGCCAAAGCTTAATTCATTCCTGTAAAAGCCCGGGTGTAGGAGAAGGACACCTGGGAACAAATGCTGTCTTTGGGACTTGGGTGTCCCACTCTGTATCTGCACCCCTCTCTTATATACCAGCTGTGTGTCCAAGAAAAAGCAGACTCCTGCAATTTGTACCCTGCTAGGTGTCAGGCTCCCAGGCCTCGTATGGTGTGGCCAGCCCAGGCTGCATTGGACATAGAGTGTGTGGAACCTGGTGTGCCCCCGGAAGACAGTCACAGCCCAGAGGTTCACCCCGTTGGTTGGGGAACCTTTCAGAGTGAAGTAGGATGGATGCTTTGACTTGGGTCAGGAAGTAGAGGCATGGGGTACAAAGGAGACTAGGAGAGCCAAGGTCAGTTTAGGGATGGCCTCTCAGAAACAGATAAAGGCAAGCACAAGACTGGCCAATTGCAGACCCCCAGAGGGGAGCTGGGAGACCAGAGACATGTGCAGTGAGGCCAAGAGCGGAGAAGCTCTTGTGGGGAACCTACATTGTGTGCACAGTGCTTGGCAGGCAGTGTCCTCAGAGTTCCCAATCTTTCTCAGCCCTGGACAATGAGAAACAAAAGCCACCAAGACCAGATGGGCTGTCATCTCCACAGACAACTATAGGCTCCATGTTGTTGGAGAGATCTCCAGCCATCTCCTTCCTGGGGCTCCTCCATAATGTGCAAGGCTGCCCAGGATGGGGAAGGGCCCTTGTACTGGACCCATTAAGATCTTTATACTGCAGCTGGCAGATGGGAGAAGTCCCTCAGTGAATTCCAATAGTACTTCTCACAAGAGATGACACTAACAAACATTTCCAGCTAAACTGCTGGAGACCCA